TCGGGTTTCGGAAGCGCGTATTTACTGTTACGGCATTCTCGCTCGTAGTGCCCCGATTTTCCGCATTTATAACATTGTACGGCATTTTTTGTTGATCGCGACGGCGCTCCCTCGTAACGGTTTCGATTTGTGTAATTACTAGATCGCGTTGTAGTTGTGCCCTTTACTTTTTCTTCGGCGGTTGCGGCCGTTATTGCCTCCTGCAGTGTTTGGTAATTTCGCGAACGAATAAGAAGTTGTATCTCGTCGCGTAGTCCTATTTGGAAATTTTGCAAGGCTTGTTTTTGTATAGTACTTAGTATGATCCGCTTTGCAATGGGGGAGTGATCTTCTCCCTCCGTCATGGATTCATATAACTCCATAGCTAAAGTATCGACGCGCGTTCCGAAAGCTTGCGCGCCTTCGTTTGCCTTTTGTTTTAAGGAATTGAACTCTATCTGCAAATACGTAGTACTTCGCCTACTCTGGTATGTACATTCCAATTGTCGCTTGAGTTCGTCGTATGTCTGTATGTCTCGCGTTTGAAAATCTAACATTGCTTTGCCTTTGAGTTTCGTGCATAGGATAGCTCCCACCAATCCTCTTTCGTTAGCAGGGTGTATGTTTGTCATGGCGTACGTACATGTGCTTAGGAATTCTTGTAATTTATGTTGGGCCGTCCCGTCAAATTCCGGAATCATTTGCCGTGCTTCTTTTAACGATAAAAAAGGCTCCTGCGGCCCTTGTCGATGTCTAGCGTCACTCTCTGTTCGTCCGTACACAACGTTATATTTTTTGTCGTCATTGTCGGGGTCTCGCGTTTCTCTCTCGCGGGTGTGTGTGTCCCGGCGGTTTTGACCTCGTTCGTCCGCGTATGTGCTAATATCACGAATTTGTTCGCGTAATATGTCTATTTCCGTGAGCATTTCCCTACGTAGTTCTCGCATGCCTCTCATTATCTCACGTAGCATAGGATTATCTATTCCGGCCTCCCTATAATTAGGAGTTTCGCGCACCTCGATTTCGTCAATGCGTCTATCTATGTATCGTCTGGTATCGCGGGGGTTAGTTGTTCCTATTTCGCTATTAGGGGGTGGTGCATGTACGTCGGCTTCCACCAGTCGAGTGTTGTCGCGAGCTATTGTACCGTGTAGACGGTCAATCTCGCGGTCGATGGCACCCTCGGACACATCCATGCCACCGTTAGGCGGTGTTCGCAGCATGTCCTGATACTCACTCGGATCGAAAATACTACTATCGTATGATGTAAGCAAAGATTCCCCGTGTTGTGACCCGTTGCTAGGAGTTCGTCTCACGCGTTCGTTACTTTTTTTTCTTAAATTTTTACCGGTGTTGGTTTCCCCTTCTTCGAATAAACTTTCGTCAAAAATGTTAAACGGAAATTCGCGTTCGGCTTTCCCGTGAGTATATGATTCGGAGTCGCTCTCTCCTGAATAATATTCTTCTAATTTTATCCGCACTTTTCCGAGGTTTTCTAAGGTTATCGGTAGTGCTTTGATTGATCGTGCGGCTGAGTCGCTATGTAACCACGAATTATTCGCTATCGCTTGTCGGGGTGTTTCGCTCTCCTCCGACATTCATGCAGTATGTATAAAAGTTTGGTTCGGACTTACATTAATGTTACTATCGCTCGCTTGCTGACGCTGCAGGTCATCGCTCGGCAGTGTTGATACGGCTGGCGGTCCGGTGTCGTAAGGTGATCCTGCGGGTCACTGTACGGTGCGATGCGTTGTCCGGGTTGTCGTAGGTCGCGTCCTTAGGTGATGGCCTACTTCCCGACGGCTGATGCGTTGTCCGTGTGTGTGTGTCTTTTGTACGTACGGCACGCTGCTGCTTATACGTCGGCTTCTGTTTTGTTTGTTTCCCGTCGATTATTATGTTCGACGTGCCTGATTATTAATACTGCTGTATTTTTCAGGTCTTCCTCCGAGTAGTTCCTGACGGTCCTTCGGCGCAATCCCACCGCTGCCACCAAATTGTTGTGTGCCTCGGGAGAGACACTTAAGGGTCGCGCCAAATTGGGATGGGAATCCGGGGCGTCAGGACTTGTCGGGTTTTTAGAGAAATGCACTACACTTTTTGTATTAAAATTCTTTATTCAATTTCAACCACTTGGTCTTTATTTTATTCCACTATCAATACACTGTAGCTTTACGAGTGTGCGGCACTGACTTTATATTACTCCGCGTATCGCGCACAACTGCGAGTCGATGCTAAGTGCGCGCGCGGTTAGCGAGATCGTGGTTAGAGCGATTATTTGTGTCTGCGACTGAGCGAGTTGTCGCGTCTCTACTCTCTTTTTATATCGTTGTTTTTTGGAGTTTTTCCCGATCGGAAGGGGTGCCTGGCAACAGGTTTCCCCGGTCGAGAATCTAGGTGCAAGCGAAGCAGATTCAAAGTCCTTCTGCTTTGCTTGCACGTTGACCAATTTCTGTTCCGCGTATATCTCGCATTGTATGCGTTTTTAACGCGGTCATTATCTGTCGTAACTCTGATTTCGCGTATACCTCGCATCGTATGCGCTTTTTAACGCGGTCATTATCTGTCGTAACTCTGATTCCGCGTATACCTCGCATCGTATGCGTTTTTTAACGCGGTCAGTGTCTGTCGTAATTGCGGATGCAATACGAGTACCCATTTCTTAATATTGGTTAACTTTAATAGTTATATCTATTGTATATCTTTGGGGGATATAACATATTTATATACGTAATAATTTCAATAAAGAGTATATGTATAATTACCATATTGAGTTTTAGAATTTAAAACGTTTTGAATAGTACTGGTTCATAAATTTTTTTACTCACATATTCTCGAATTTTTCCATGACATTCACAACATGTATAATCTTTGATAGTTGCGTCCATAGGGACATTTCCTAAACTCGTAAGTACGTGTGCGTGTGCGTGTGCGTGCGGTGTGTGTGTGCCGCGCTGTGTGCGTATGGTGTGTATGTGTATTAAAATATGTGATATATATCAGGTATTAATGAAATTTATATAGTTACTTTATTGCCAAAAATTAATTTTTATTAATTTATTTTTATGAGAAAAATTTTTATTATATTGTAAAATTAATAAAAAAACTTGATTTTATATCGTGAAATTAATAAAAAACTTGGTTTAAATATATTAATTCAAACTTCATGTATGTATATAACGTATATAATTTATATAAAGAGTATATGTATAATTACCATATTGAGTTTTAGTTTAAAATGTTTGAATAGTAACTGTTCATAAATTATAGTTTCCTCATTTTTTCGAATTTTCCTTTGTTCACAACTGTATAATCTTTGATAGTTAAATCCATAGGGACATTTCCTAAACTCTTAGAATAACGTTTTTGAAAAAAAGCTCCGGATACTGTACCACCTATATAATTATAATTATTATAATTTTATAAAATACTTATTAATTATGAAATTTATTATTAAAAATGTTCATCAATAGAAAAGTTTAAATTTTGCAACAATTGTTGTAAGATGACTTTGAAACATATTTGCTAAAAAAGAATTTTCTAAAATTATAAGTTATAAATATTGTAATAAGAAATGTTTTTATGTATACATACATACATACATTTTAAAATTATTTATAATGAAATAAATAATGAGATAAATATTTAACAAAAGTCAATTTCTTTTACAATATTTATAACTTATAATTAGAAAATGATTTTTTAACAAAAAATGTGTTTTGTAAAGTCATTTTACATTATTTATTATAAAACTTAAACTTTCCTATATGAGTTTTTTATATTCAAGATAAAAACAAATTTACATTAAAAAATTTGTTATCAAAATTAATTGATCAATTGTAAATAATTTTTTAAATTATAAAATTGATTTTTTATTTGTAATATTTTACTAACAGTAAATTAACATTATTTCTAAATGTTAAAATTTAGTTTTGTTATATATAATTTATAAATTATACTTCGGCTCGTATACAATTAAAATATGTGATATAATAAAAGGCCAACTTAACGAGCTTATATGCTATTAATTGAAAAATTTATTTATTAATTTACGTCATACTATACAAAAGTTGAGATAAACGTTTCGACTGTACGACAGTCTTTTTCAATATCCTAATAATATGTTAAAAAATTAATTTAGTCATATCGACCTTATTATAAATACAACAATTATGAGATTATATGACGAACGCAGTACAAAATTCATGTTTGTTGGCATGAGTTAGAGCGTCAGATGCTGTTATATTATGTAACGACATTTTTTGTCACGAACATAACACTTTTTTTAAAAAAATTATTTCTTTTTACTTAACATAATCACAATGTGTACTTTTTTAAAAAACAAGATATCGATTTGTTTTTTAAAAAAGTACACATTGTGATTATGTTAAGTAAAAAGAAATAATTTTTATAAAAAAATGTTATGTTCGTGACAAAAAATGTCGTTACATAATATAACAGCATCTGACGCTCTAACTCATGCCAACAAACATGAATTTTGTACTGCGTTCGTCATATAATCTCATAATTGTTGTATTTATAATAAGGTCGATATGACTAAATTAATTTTTTAACATATTATTAGGATATTGAAAAAGACTGTCGTACAGTCGAAACGTTTATCTCAACTTTTGTATAGTATGACGTAAATTAATAAATAAATTTTTCAATTAATAGCATATAAGCTCGTTAAGTTGGCCTTTTATTATATCACATATTTTAGTTTTGTTATTAATTTTTATTATTAATAATTTTTATTAAAAAAAAACATTTTTTATAGAATATTTTTATTAATAATTTTATCTCAATTTTTTATAGAATTGACATCATAAAATTAATTATTTATTTTATTGTAAGATTATTTATAAATTATGTTGATTTTTACATTTTATAATTATTTATAAAAAGATTTTTTAAGAACAGTTAATATTTTATGTAATAACAAATATATAAAATAATGTCTTAATTTATGTTGTAAACATTTGTAATAAAATGATTTTAATTTTGTGATAAAAACTTACAAATGATGTTTTAAAGTTATGTATAACTCGATTTATGTTATTGCCCCATATAGTAACTTGAACCTTCCAGTCTTTATTATTTGTCAAAATTACTCGACAACGTTGAACTTCACCATTTTTAGTTTTAACAGCAATTGTACTGTCGATTTGTTCCACCATACTGATAAAACACCTTAAAAAAATATATATATATAAACAATTAATATTTTATATTTATTAAAAAAATAAAAAAATAATTAAAAGTTCAATAAAATTTTTAATAAATGTATCTTTTATACATCAATTACATTTATATGATTTTATGCTACTATTATATAGTTTTATTCTTAAACTGACAGAATTTTACAAATTTGACGATAATACTGAAATAGTGAGAATAAGTAATAAATATGAATAAAAAATTTATGAATAAAAAATTAAATATTAAAAAATTTTTAAAACTTACACTGTACCATCATTAGGTAACATAACTTCGAAAAGTTCTCTTGGTGAAACATATAATGTTGGATTATCACACAACTCACGATAAATGTCTGATTCGCTATCCATTTTCTTTGTAGCTTTATCCTAGAATTTTTAAATAAAAAATATTTCAATGTAACGTACACACGCAATTTTAAAATAAAAATATAAATAGCAACTAAAATTTAATATTATATAGTAAGAATATATATTTATAAGAATATATTATTATTAAGACAAATAATATAAATATTTTTAACAAAAATCAATTGGAATATAAATAATTGTAAAATAATTTTTTGTAATAGTTTATATTAGCAAATATATAAATGTTTAGTTGTAATTAATATAAGTTGTAAATAATTAATATAAGTTGTAATTAATATATGTAACAAATATTTAGCGAAAATTTTTTTGAAATATCATAATTAAGTGACTATAAGACGAAATATACAATATATGTATACAATATTTTAATTGTAAGATAGATTTAAGCACATATTTAATTATAAGTTATATAATTGTAATTAGTATAAATAAATTATTCATATAACTTCATATATATTTACCGTTTAGTTTAATAAATCACAAAGAATCAAATTTATATAATAATTATAATAATATTTCAATTTTATGCACATTAATAATACTAAATGAATTATACGATGTCTGTTACTTTTAACGATGATGTTACCATCATTACGTAGCGATGTACATGTTAAAATATATGCGTAATGACATTACCATGATACAATGTTACATAGCAACCATCGTTATTAGGACTAAAGGATATCGCACACAAATTACATAAGCTGCATATGCATAGCATAAGACCTTATGGACCAATGAGCATCAAGCATTGAATCACATGCTCGATGTTCATTGGTCCATAAGGTCTTATGCTATGCATATGCAGTTTATGCAATTTGTGTGCGATAGCATTAAAGGCCGCCGCACACACTTTTGCATGACATATAATGTAAGTGTATAAAGAATTTGATTGGTTGAATTTTATTATGCATGTGCTGATGGACCAATAAAATGTCTAGATTCGAAAATTTTTCTATGCTACAGCCAATTAATACGTTTGAAAAATTTATTCTACGACAAATGTAATATCAACTGAACATGTCAACTTATTGCACAATAAATTTTTAGTTTTAAAGATTGGTAGCAATTGATTTGAAAATAAATAGTAGGTACACTACATACTCTAATTGTGTGTGACAACTTAAAAGGTTATAGATATCGTTACACCTTAAAAGAATTCTTAAAAATTCTTGAAAATTTCTCGTCGAGCAGCAAAGAAATTATTTGTTTCAATAATATATGAAGTGACAGATATAATAACAATAAGGTAAATTATTTTGAAATATAATATATCATAAGATCATTAAAGAAAATACAAAATCGCATTTAAAAATATAAATACTGTTATATTCTAATAATTGATTATGTAAATATATAACTTTAAAATACATATGCTGAGTATTGGAAAATTTAAATATATTTAAAGTATATATATATATATATATATATATATATAATATATGAGGTATTCCATTTCAAATCGTGCGTGCATGCGTGCGTGCGTGTGTACGTGTATAGTTTATATATATAAAACCAGTATTGAACAATGTATATAAATTTTATATAAATTTAATATTGTATGTAGTTTTTAAAAAATTTATGTAAAATTTATATTAATTAGTTTGTATAAAATTTATACAAGATATAGTATAAAAAGGATGGGATCAATAAAATTATATATATATAGTTGTCTTAAAGAAAAAACTATATTTTATTTACATTAATTGATTTGTCTCATGTGCATAAAATATTAAGTATACGATGTATATAATATTATGTATATATAAAATGTTAAAATTACACAAAATTAAACATTTCACGAGATATTTTGTAATTTATGTCAAAATACTGTTTAAAATATTATAACTAAAAAAAGTATTTAATAAAAAAATATTTTTTTGTAATATTTTGAAAAGCTCTCGAGATAAGGTATAGAAAAATATCAAATAAAAATGTGGGTTTTCATTTAAAATTTTAAAGTTGACTTTGAGATTTTCTTTATAACTACACTTAAGATCAAATGTGTATTACCATTTCATATATTTTTTATATAATATATTTGTTACTATATTCTTGAAAAGAAATGATATCACTGCCAAAATATTTGCTGAAAATACAAAATAATATCAATTGATAATATATAATATATACCTATTAAATACATTGTCATATACATATAGATAATATAAAAATATATTTGTTTTAAAGATAAAATAATAATTTTAAATAGTTTTATGTGTTAATATAATTTTAATTTTTTTTTACAGTGGATTGATATTTGATTTTTATCGTTGAATATATATGATCCAACTGAATATATATGAGCAAAATATAGCATATTCAGGTATTATTTTATTTTTTATTTGAATTAATAATAAATATTTCACATAATAAGACAAATATATATAAAAAAAATAAGCTAATATATATAAATAATAAATAAGCTAATATATGTAAATAATAAATAAGCTAATAAAAATATTTTGTTTCAGGTTTGGTAGCCACTTATATTTTTTGGCTAAAACAAAGCTCCAATCCAGCTTTTGTAATTTGACAATTGGACATAATTGTGAAAATTTAGATAAAAATTTGACATAAATATTTGACATTATAGTTGTAACACTACAAGTATTATTTGATATTTTAATTGTTGATATTTGAAATTTGTAAGAAATTAATGAATGTTTGATTTACATTTAAATATTTTATTATCAAGAACACTATACATATACTTGTTACATAACAATTATATTCGCTATATAAAATTAAATTAAATTTTTATTTGAATGTTAAATTAATATTATCGTGTTATAGTTATTTATTATTAAATTGATATTTAATGTAAGTGCAATATTGAAATTTATAATTTAACAACTGTGTAAAATAAAAACAGTTATTTTATGTAATATTTTATTTAATTTTAAATCATCAGTGTGCTATTTTCATTTAAATAAAATTTAATAAAATTATATAATAGTCTGTTATTTAATTTATTAACTACAAATTTATTAACTAAAAATTAATTTAAAATTTATATAAACAAATATTTTGTTTGTATATACATTTATATTCGTTACATTTTATAATATTTAAATTTTATTGATCTGTGTAAACATTTAACAAAAAAGATTTAATTAAAATAATTTAAAAATGGGTAAACGTAAAGCTATTCGTACTCGAGAGGAAGAAGAAGAATTTCAGCGATTAAAGAGAGAACGAAAGGCTTTAAATCAACAAAAATACCGCGAGAGAAAAAAAGAAAATGCAACAAACAATATAGCTGAGTCATCTAAAGTTTGTGAATCAAGAAATTTATTAAATAATAGTTCATCAGTTGCAGTGTCTAAATCGCAAAATCCTTTGGTCACAAACAATATTTATCTTGCTTCATCAGTAATAAAATGTGTTATTACAACGTCGACTTTGAGCAATTCTGTTACTACAATTAACAACTGCATATCAAAGTTATCGAGCAATAGTTCTTTGATAACTTCAAATTCAAAACTTGATAACGATAATGTTAATATAATTAAAAAAACTGTCAACCATGAACAAAGTACACTTACAAGTGTTGAAAATACTACAGATTCAAGTCAATTAATTTCAGTAAATATAAATGATAATTTTTCCGAAATTGATAATATACAATTACAAAATATCACAGATAAAAGAAAAATGCAAAATTGTCGAGCCAATTATAAAGGATTTCAAAACATAAATTATCATAATATAAATCAACATTACATAGGAAAAATGGAAGTAGAGTGCAAATATTGTAAAGCAAAACATTTTCACGCTGAAAAAGTTTATAATAAATGTAATTCATTCAATGATTGTTGTAGTCATGGAAAAGTTATATTGGAATCTCTATCACCATTTCCTGATGAACTACAACAGTTATTTTTTGGAAATCATAAAAAATCTAAAGAGTTCTTTAAAAATCTGCGAAGTTATAATAGTGCATTTTCTTTTGTCTCTTTTAATGCTAACTTGGTTAATTTTAATGCACAAAGACGAAGTCCTTATTGCTTCAAAATTCAAGGTCAAATTTATTATCAAATTAATACTGCATTATATCCTGCTGCACAAGAACAATCAAGTTATTGACAGCTTTTCATTCTTGACGCTAACGAAGCTACAGAATGTCGTTTAAATGTAAATACAAATCTTGATGAAGAGTTATTACATACATTAGATGGTATTATTCGCAGCAATAATATGTTTGCTCAGTCATATCAAATGATGCATGAAGAAGTTTGTAATCAAGAAAATTCAGGTTTAAATGTGCCTAATTTAAAAATGGCATTCTTAAATAAGAAAACAGGTATTGATCGCGGAAGATATAATATTCAAAGAACTAACGAAGTTGCTGCAATTTTTTCAACTACTGCAGATGGAGATATTCCTGATTGTTATGTTACAATTAGAAACAAACGTGATAAAACTTTAAAATACGTTAGTACAATGGATCCAAACGTTGAACCTTGGATTTATCCAATGTATTATCCACATGGTACGCCAGGTTGGCACGATAATATTAAACAAATTAATGGAAAACGTGTAACTAGATCTATGTACATTCAATATCGAATAGCTATTCGTGACAATACTAATATTTTTTTAATGGGTAAACGATTATTTCAACAATGGCTTGTTGACAATTATGTAAAAATAGAAAAAGACAGAATTAACTGGTGTAAAGAAAATCAAAAACAGTTGAGAGTGGAAAAGCATCAGGGACTAATCGATTATTTAGAAAAAAAAGCGACTGATGCTAATGCTCGTGTTGGACGAATAATGATACTTCCATCAACATTTATTGGTTCACCTCGAAATATGATGCAAAATTATCAAGATGCGATGGCTATTGTTCGTAAATATGGTAAACCAGATGTTTTTATTACAATGACTTGTAATCCAAATTGGCTCGAAATTAAAGAAAATTTACTTTCAAATCAACAACCTGCTGATAGACCTGATATTTGTGCTAGAGTATTTGATATAAAAAAAAAATTATTTGATAGATTTGATTGTTCGACAAAAATTTTTTGGT